ATATGCTTCATTTCTAACAGAGATGGCTACCACCCTAATAGAGTGAAAGCTACCACATTAACGGCTTCCTATTTTGTGAAGCTAGTACACCATTTAGTAAACATGGAGAGGGCTACCCATGAGGACTGTGTGAAAGCTACCATTAGAGTAGGTGTGCACTTAATTTCTAATGGAGAGGGCTACCGCCCTTATAGTGTGAAAGCCGCTATACAAACGTCCTTTTAAAAAAGAAAAAACTTTGTATTGACATTGAGTTAGAGTTCACTCTATTTGACTTCAAGTGTAGAGGCTTGAATAAGACTAAATAGGACTTGATCAGTGTACTTGACTTATTGGGAATGCGTCGCCTCTCACAATTTTCATTCACCAAAACAAGCCCTATACCATACTAGTTACAGTAACTCTTAGCTTGTTGATTCATGAGTACTTATATAATTGATATGTTGTCATTGATTGATTCACATTTCAGTCTAGTTCATTGTTTAAATATGAAACCTGCAGTGAAAATGTGTTGTTCGGATGTTTGGATTGGAGAATTCTTTTATGGGGAGGAAGAGTTTCGATCGGGAATTTAATTTGATTTTATTTCACTACCCCTCTGATGATTTCCAAGTCTTAGAGTGGACAATGGGCAGAGGGGTAATACAAACCTATTAATTTGGGTTTATTTCCTTGTAGATATATATATGCAGGTGAAATAGGTGCAGATCATCAAGCTCCCAGGAAGCATATTAATTTGGACATGGTAATCAAGGTATGGTTATTTGAATTTGTATTAATCAAGGTATGGTTAAATGATTGAGGAGGTGCAGATCATCAGGCTCGCCAAGAAGCGTATTAATTTAGACATGGTAATGTATATTTTGTTTGGCTCCTTTGTTTATTTGAATTTATATTAATCAAGGTATGGTTAAATGATTGAGGGATGTTGTCAATTAAATCTGTCTTTTATATATAGTGGAGTTTGGACCTCATTTTTCATTAGTTCCTGGTTTTTAGATTGATATTTGTCGGAGTATATTGAACACTACATCATTCTGGTTCAACAAATTTCTTTTATACTGTTGCATTTCCCCCTCCAGATTTCTTCCCTGCACTATTGTTGGAGCACCTTTCAGTTTTTGGCAAAGTGCCGTTTGACAATTTGATATATCTTACGTCATATTTCTGATAATAATAAAAAATTTATTTGTTGAACAGATAAAATGATGAAGGCCATTAAAATAGAGTCTGTGGAGTTGACTTCAGATCCGTGCAATCAGAAAACCCAAAGTTTGCCTTCCACAAGGGGCAAGAGAGAAAAAAGGGTCAATCAATCAACCAACCATAGCTCTTTACTTCCTGTCCTTCCTTCTCTCCTCCCTTGTACTTCACAGACCCACCTTTGCCATCAAAAAGGTGAGCATTCAATCTTATTTTCTTCCATTAAAAAATCAAGAAAAAAAGAAGTAGATCCCATTGCTATGCCTACTATCATGATATATATATATTTTCATTATGTACTTACTTGCTTGCCTGCTTCTACTGTTGTATTGCTGTAGTCATATGTGGTGTACTTGGGATCACATTCACATCCCCCAAACTTATCAGAACTTGAACTAAACCAAGTGACAGAGAATCACTATGAGTTTCTTGGGTCCTTCTTGGGCAGGTACTTCAACACATTTTAGCACCAACAACTAAAATACATGAACACCATCTTTCTGAAGTCATATATTTGAATTTGTCTACAAAATGCAGCCATGAAGTTGCAAAAGAATCCATCTTTTACTCATACACAAGGCACATCAATGGCTTTGCTGCCACATTAGAAGAAGAAGAGGCAGCTCAGATAGCCAGTGAGTGAGAATCTTTTTTTTTTTTTTAATCTTCTTTCTCCTCTGTTTTGTATACTTGTTCTTCTCATGATTTCCATTGAAACACTGCAGAGCATCCAAAGGTAGTCTCCATTTTCTTGAACCAGGGAAGAAAATTACACACAACTAGATCATGGGATTTCTTGGGACTTGAGCATGATGGTGTTACTCCACCCAACTCAATCTGGAAGCAGGCAAGAAATGGTGAAGATACAATCATAGGAAACCTTGACACTGGTCAGTTTTTCTTCTTCTTCTTATTTTATTTATTTATTGGCATAGGCAAGATATGGTAGAAATGTACTGGTTTTTGGTTTTTGGAGTTGACATCAATATGAGTGATTTGCTGTATTGGTTTTTGGTTCAGTGTTTGGGTTCGGGTAATTGGTTGAAGTGCAATCTAACAAGTGTATGTCATTTCATTTTTTAACTGTGTGTTGGAGAATTAACAGTTATCTTGTTAGACCTGTCCTCCTTTCAAGATGTTTTCTGTTGCCAATCTGTCATTTCATTTCATATTTGTTACAAAAATAAAAATAAAAATGTTCCAACATTAGAGGGGATGCATAAAACATGTCTACCTGGGGAGCCATAAATCTGAATGGCATGTAACTTATTGTTCTCTCTCTAGAAGAGTGTTAATTTGCACTAGTATCAATACTTCAGCTCCAAGTTAAAATCTGCTCCTATAAGAATGGATAATCTGGAAATCTCTACCAAGACGAATCGCTTATTAATGCCAAAGCTGGCCCTGATATCTGAGTGTCCTCCCTTCAAGTTTCAAGATGTTTTCTGTTGCCAATCTGTCATTTCATTTCATTTTTGTTAGAAAAATAAAAATAAAAATGTTCCAACATTAGAGGTGATGCATAAAACATGTCTACCTGGGGAGCCATAAATCTGAATGGCATGTAACTTATTGTTCTCTCTCTAGAAGAGTGCTAATTTTCACTAGTATCAATACTTCAGCTCCAAGTTAAAATCTGCTCCTATAAGAATGGATAATCTGGAAATCTCTACCAAGACGAATCGCTTATTAATGCCAAAGCTGGCCCTGATATCTGAGTGTCCTCCCTTCAAGTTTGCTCCCTTAGTAATGTTCAACGCATACCCTTCCAATCCATCAACGTTGTCCAACCCAATAATGGTAACTTTATCAATGATCCATTTTTGGCTTAAAGCAAAACCTCCATTTACAACCGTTGATCTTACAGATACACTTCCATTTTCTGTTGCACAGTAAAATCTCACTAAACTCCACTTGCCTCCCTTTCCTCCCATTTCCACTTCCTCTCCATCATCCAAGAAAACTTCTCCAGTGCTCTGTCCATTGCTGCTGCTAACAACCAAAAGTTCGAATGCAGTCTTTCGGGCTGCTTCTGTTGTCAAGGCCTTTCCTTGTAAGGCCAAAATGTTTCCTTCACGGACATGTACGTTGATATGATCAGGTGGTGCATCCAATGTAACGTGCTCTCCCGATTTTACACTTACTGAGTTTGAGTAGTTGAAGAGATCAAACCAGTTTCCTGCAGGAAAATATGCATCAACTGAACTTACTCCTGGCTTCAACACAGGTGACACCATTACACCTCTGCCAATCAGAAACTGAGTGTTGATCTCATAAGTTCTGATATCTTGAGGAAATGAGAAGAAAAGGGGTCTTGCAATGGGGGTCCCCTTTTTGTGTGCCTCATACATTGATGTGTAAAACAAGGGGAGCAACCGATAGCGCAGGCCAAGCACCTTCCTTGCCGTTGCAGCCACTGAGTCCCAAAGATAGAGCTCTTGACGGATTGTAAACTTCTCTGAGTGATCTCTTGCAAAAGGGTAAAAGGCCCCTAGCTGCATAGAGACAAAGCATAGTTAAGTTAGTTGCACAAATTCTGATGATTATAATTGACAGCATAGCAAAGTTCTAGGTAAAACAAGATGTATAATGTAGTCTAGTTTTTGTGAAGTGTTCAATTTGAAGGCTCATAAGTTACCTGAATCCACCGCCTGCAGAGCTCTTCAGTAGTATTTCCAGAGAATCCACATATATCAGCTCCAACCATCGGAACTCCGAAGAGGCCAAAATTCAGAATTGCTGGAATTGTGTATGCCAGATCACTCCATTCTGCAGAATTGTCTCCAGTCCAGTGTGCTGTGTACGTACCAGAGCTTACAAAAGTTGATCTAGAAAGTATAAATGGTCTTTTACCAGTCACACTGACTAAGGCCTTGTTTGTTGCTCTGGATTCCAAGAGTCCATATAAGTTATGAGCACCATATTCTGTGATGTTACCGAAGTGTAGCGCTGATGCCGGAACAGTATTGTTATTGATGGGACGCAGGACCCCGGCATTGTTAATCTTGTAAGGAGGGTCATCAAGTGTAGAAGATGGAGTGGGAGGGGACGTGATGAAATTGGATAGCTCATTCATATCAAGCCAAAGACCATCGAAAGGCAGAGCATCTTGAAATATTTTTATCTCATTAGCCCAAAATTTTTCACTTTGTGGATGTGCAAAGTCAGGGAAATAGACAGGGCCAGGCCAAACACTTCCCAGGTAAGGAATTCCGTCACGTTTTATAAATATATCTGCTTTCAGCCCTCTGTTGTAGGTTCCATAGCTCTTATTCACACTGATACCTGTGAGAGTCATAATACTATCATTTTCTGCCTCATCAGACAAAATGCATGTAACATCAATTTTGCTGCAGAGTGAACATACCAGGGTCCAAGATGAGCACATATTTCTGATCATTTTGGTGAAGGGTGTTGACAAATTTCTTCATCTTATCCAATGGGAAGTTGATGGGATCAAGAGTAAAATCCTTGTATGCATCCATGTAATCAATGTCTGTCCACATAACTTCAAGGGGGATAGCGGCTTTTGCATAGCCAGCAACCACACCCTCAAGATCGGAAACATTCTTGTAACCATATCGACACTGGTGGAATCCTTCAGCAGAGAATAAGTGAACAAAGTCAATGTGATTCCAAAATAAGATGAAAAAGCATACTATGCTAGTAGGAAGGACATTTTTGGACCATGTTAATATCAAACAAGGACTATAAATGCACATTTCAATTGAAGAACAAAACTATTTGTACCATTTCAACTGGTCATGTGACATAGCACCTGTCTACTAATAAGTGCCGATACAAAAACATGATTAGTTGAGATGGTACAAACGACATATACTCTTAGTCATAATAATTGATGTCACATGTGAATGTGATAATATATAGTACCTACCTAAGAAAAGTGGAATTTACAATATTTAAGTGCAAACAAACTTACCAAAAGACCAATAGGGCATAGGGGCAGGGCGACCAATGAGCTCTGTATACTGCTCCACCACCAACTCCGGCGTAGGCCCAGAAAAGAAATACAAATCCACAATTCCACCAATGGCCTTATAAGTAATTCTATCACCGCCGTATGTTATGTCCATGCCATTGCTATTCAGCAGCAACACTCCATGAGATGTTCCAGCGCTGTCGGCCTTGCCATCTGGAGAAGCTGACCTGACGTCCAGGTAGAAGGGGTGGGACCCGTAGAGGTTGACGTCAGCATTGGCGCTGCCAATGTCAGCTGTCCAGAGTGTCAAGGTCTGGTTAGGGGTGAGCTTGAAGGAGGACTTGGTGTGCTCACCGAGGCCGAAAAGGGAGGACCTGGCTTTGGGGAGGGAGGAGGAGAGCTGGATGTATTGGTCCTTGAAGACCAAGAAGGTGTTGGGGTTTGATGGGTTCGGGGAGGCGTCGAAAATGACATCGTTGGAGGATTGGCGGGTGACGGTGAAGCCAAATGGGGTGGTGTTGTGGAGAGTGAAGACAAGGTCGTTGGAGATCAGGAGGTGTTTGTTGTGGGTTTGACATTGTTGTGAATGCTGTGAAGTTGTTTGGCGGGGGATTATTTGTCGTGGGATTTCCCATCTTTGGTGCGTTGAGTCTGTTATTCGAATTCTTAGCCGATCTTTGGTTTCATAGCTGCATGCATGATTAGCAGCACAAGGGCCAATTAGATTTCTAACATAAACTCGTGAAAAACTGGTCTCCGTTTGATTACATGAGATGTTTAATTATGTCGTAAGACTGTGAATCTGAATCATTGATGGCCTAGCAATGCATATTAATGTTATGTAATCTGAGTTTAAGAAAGTATGGCAACCATCTAGTAAATAAGAGAGCAATTAATTGAATAATAGTCCTCAATTTGTATGGCTAATATTGTGGAGTGAAAATGCTAATTGGGTTTTTGGTCAATAAGGTTCTTAGCTAGATATTCTATATTATGGACGGTTGAGATGTTTTGCAATATCCTAATCAAACGGTCAACCCCCAATGACTAATGAGAATTAAAAAAATGAAAACGTGAGAATATAAACTTAATAAATTGAGAATGGTTAATTACGAAGTACCTGGCGTGAAGGTTGAGATTTGGGATGTCAGGTCCGTAGAGGGAGGATTTCTTGATGAGGCCAAGATTAGCAGTCAATGAGTTCCCAGAAGAATCATAGTTGACTGAATGAATTTTATATCCAAACCCAGCAACTGCAGCTTCTTTGGCTCCCGTGGTATTTGATGATGAAACTAAACCACAGTGAAACACAGCAGAGAAGAAGAAGAAGAAGAGTGGAAGATGATATATTGGTTTTGGTTTGTTTGGTCTGCTTCTTCGCATCTTCATTTTCTCTGTTCCAGTGCTTGGGTTTTCCTCCTTTATGTGAGGCGCGCGTGATAGGTCTTTTGTAATCCTCTGCCTCTGTGCACTTTCCAATCTTGCCTTTATGCACTTTCCAATCTTGTATTGTAATTTGTATCGTGTGGTGAATATATAGCTTTCATATGTGAACCCCACACACGTGAATAGATGTCACAGCTTACCACCTACCTCGCAGCTCCCTCTCAGCTAATAAAATAATTATAAAAATAATAATAATTAGTTTTTAAAGAAATAAGATATGTTTGTGTATATAATCTATGCATTATTGAGTAGGGAAGAAGGAGGAGCTAGCATTCTGCTTATATTGTGCCACTGAATCCCAGAGATCAAGCTTCTCCTGACGAGTTGCTTACATTGTTTTAATTGTAGCAAAGTCCAGCTATATAGTATTAGTATTCAGCACAAAATAAAAAAATAAATTACTATAAGGATAAGTCTGGAACGAGCAATTTTGTCTGCTATGGTTAAACTTAAAATTTTTATAAAAAAAAATTAGTGTTCTAAAAAAAAGCATAGCATGGGTTTTAATTTCTAAACATTAGAAGAGGGCCTAATTGATAGGAGTGATACTAAGTGAGGTTTAAATTAATATTACCATAATTCATATATGTAAAATTTGAATAAGTATTTTTTGAGAAGAAGATTTCATTCATA